CAGTTCACCCACACCCATAGGAAGCTGTATCTCCAGGAACTCAGGTGAGTCTCGAACCCATGCCCCAATTACTAGTGTAACTGGAACCCCCAGGACATAGGGAACCCAGGAGACCCAGGAAAAAGGACACTATCAATAGGAAAAAACAACAACTCAAGACTGGGAAAATATCTTTACCAATCCTACATTCTATAAAGAGTTAATATCCAAATTATTCAAAGAACTCAAGAAGGTAGACTCCAGAGAGCCAAATACCCCTATTAAAAATGGGATACAGACCTAAACAAAGGATTCTCAACTGAGGAATATCAATAGGCTGAGAAGCACCTAAAAATATGTTCAACATCCTTAGTCATCAGGGAAATACAGATCAAAACCACTCTGAGATTCCACCTCACACCAGTCAGAATGGCTAAGATAAAAAACTCAGGCAATAGCAGATGCTGGTGAGGATGTGGAGAGTGAAGAACACTCCACCATTGCTGTTGGGATTTAAAACTGGTAAGAAAAAACCACTTTGGAAATCAATCTGGCAGTTCCTAAGAAAATTTGAAGTAGTCCTACCTGAAGACCCAGCTATACTACTTTTAGACATATACACAAAAGATTCTTCAACATATAGCATGAACACGTGTTCCACTATGTTAATAGCAGCCTTATTTTTAATAGCCAGAAGCTAGACATGACCCAAATGCCCTTCCACAGAAGAATGCATACAAAAAAGTGTCACATTTGAACAATGGAGTACTAGTCAGCTATTACAACTATGACTTCATGGAATTCACAGGCAAGTGAGTGAAACTAGAAAATACTATCCTGTGTGAGGTAACCCAGACACAAATGAATACACATTGTACATACAAACTGATAAGTGAATATTTGCCCAATAGCTTAGAATACCCATGATACAACCCACAACCATATTGAGTTAAAAAGAAGAAAGACCAAAATGTAGATGTTACAATCCTACATAGAAAGGAAAACAAAACAATCACAGGAGGTAGAAGGAAGAAGGGACCTGTGAGGGAGAGAGGATGGGGAAGGAAAAAAGGTGGGCAGGATCACAGATTGGAAGGGAAAGGAGAGAAGTACAGAGGGTCAGGAAATTGATTAGAAATATGCAGCACTGGGGGATGGGAAACTAGGGGTAGCCACTAGAAAGTTCCATACTCCACGATAATGAGTGATGACTAGTGGTGATGACTTTAGCTGGAATAATCAACAAAGGGGATATACACCCTACAGAAACTGCCTCCAGTCGATTACTATGGGTCCCAGTTGAAGGATGGGTCCAGCCACATATCTCAAAAGTTTGAACCCAGAAATGTTCATGTCCAAAGGAAACACAGAGACAAAAAGTAAAACAGAGACTGAAGCAAAAGACAACCAGAGACCGTCCCACCTTTGGATCCATCCCAAATGCAGACACCAATCCCCTATACTATTGTTGATGCCAAGAAGTGCTTGCTGATAGGAGCCTGATATAGATGTTCCCTGAGAGGTTCTACCAGCACCTGACCAAAACAAATGCAGATACAGTCAACCATTGAACTGAGCCTGGTGACCCCAATAGAAGAAATGGGGGAAGGACTGAAGGATCTGAAGAGGATTGTAACCCTATAGGAAGAACAATATAAGCTTACTGGACTACTCAGAGCTCCCAGGGACTAAACCACCATCCAAAGAGTATACATAAAGGGAGCCATGGCTCTAGATACATGTGTAGCAGAGAATGGCCTTATTAGACATCAATGGGAGAGGAAGCCTTTGGTCTTGTAGAGGGTTCATGCCTCAGTGTATAGGGATGCTAGAGCAGTGAGGCAGGACTGGATGAGTGGGTGGAGCACTTTCATAGAAGCAAAAAGGAGGGAGGAGAGGGAAGATGAGATAGGGGATTTGTGGAGGGGTACTGGAAAGGAGGATATCATTTGAAATGTAAATTAATACAATGATTAGTAAAAAAAAAAGAAGAAGAAGAAACGTAAAAAGAAGAAAGTGGAATATATATTTGAAGTCCAAAAACTGATAAATTTATATTACACAAAGTGAAATGATAATAGTTTCATTATATTACTTATTTGAAAGATTAAGCTAAATACCAAGTTATAAAGCTAAATTAAGAGAAGTACAGACATCATTGCTTTAAATCAAAACAATTTTCAGAGACTAAATAGTAGCTCATTTAAAAATAAACCCACTAGCCCCACCTGGGGATCCATCCCATATAAAGTTGCCAAACCCTGAACCTATTTTAGATGATGGGAAGTGCATGCTGAGAGGAGCCTGATATGGTTGTCTACTGACAGGCTTTGCCAGAGCATGACAAATACAGAGGCAGATGCTCACAAACAACCATTGGACTGGGCATAGGGTCCATGATGAAAGAGTTGGAGAAGGGAGTGAAGGAATTAAGGGGGTTTGCAGCCCTGTGGTGGGGACAAAAGTATCAATCTGCCAGACAGCCCAGAGCTCCCTTGGACTGGATCACCAACCAAATTACACATGGAGGGACCCATGGCTCTGGCATAATATGTGGCAGAGGATGTCCTTGTTGAACATCAGTAGGAAGAGCTACCCTTTGGCCTGTGGGGATTCAATGCCCCAGTGTAGGGGAATGCCACTTCATAAAGGCAGGAGTGGTTTGGTGGGTGGTGGAGCACCCTCATAAAGGCAGGGGAAGGGGGAATGCGATAGGGGTTTTCAGGAGGAGAAACCTGGAAAGGAAATAACATTTGAAATGTAAATAAAGAAAATATCCAATAAAAGAAAATAAAAAACACTAAAGACCATTCTGAACATCTTTAAACCTAAATTTAGAACAGTGGCCCTTTGAACCACACAGCAAAATTAGAACTGTAGTGTGAGTATGACCCGGAACAAATTGGCTTTTAGCCTCCTACTGATCCCATGACTGTAATAACTCTGTGGTAATTGTCTTTGCAAGCTACTACAGTAATTTTTATTTTCTCTTCATATTTCAGGATAAGAGACAGACAACATTAGAAGCCTCAATTGATAGCCCTTTATCCTCCTTAATCAATAGGAATATTTTTTAAGGCTCTTATTAATTATTTATATTATGTCCTTTGTGGGGCCTAGAGATGGTCTAGAATGGACTGCATTGTGAAAGAGCTCATGGTCTTTGGGGGGAGACAGTGGAGACAAAACCTTCATGTGCAGTAGAGGCACAATGGGAACAAACCATCATGAGAAGACAGAAAACAGAATCATTCTTTTGAGGAGAAATATGGATATTTGGAGTTGTCAAACAACTATTTGTAACCCTGTTCTATCTCTGGGTTTCTAAATATTGCTCAAGGCTGGGTGTGATGGCCTGTACCATTGATCACAGTGCTTAGAAAGAGGTAGGAGGAAATTTGTGAGATCACAATCTACTTTCCAGTTTAACAGAATATGATTCCTTCTCTCAAACCAAATAGTAAGAACAAAATATGTTTTCAAATAATTGAAATTAATACATGTTTGAGATTAGTTAACATGGTGTTTTTACTGAAGTACAATGTATTTCTCTCAAAAAATATCAAACATGGTTAATTACTATAAGACAGAAAAACAAACTCAGTTCTCATGACACAAAATCATATTTACCACTAATGTAGTGCAGGGTAGACTGAGTTATCACAGTCTGCACACTGGGAAAGCAGATGAGGAGACAGCAGAGGCAGGTGTGTCCTAGGAATAGGAAGCATAGATCAGATATGTTGTTTAAGAACTCAAACCTCATCCATCCCATATGCAGTCACCAAAGGTAGACGCTGATGTGGATGTCAGGAAGTGCATGCTGACAGGAGCCTGATATAGATGTGTCCTTAGAGGTCTGCAAGAGTCTGACATATTCAGAGGCAGATGCTCACAGCTAGCCATTGAACTGATCATGAGGTTCCCAATGGAAGAGTTAGAGTGAAGACTGTTGGAGCTGAAAGCGTTTGCGGCCCCATGAGGAGAGCAACAATACCAACCAACCAGAGCTCCCAGGGTCTAAACTACAAACCTGGGAGCACTTAGGGAGGAATCCATGCCTTCAGCTGTATATGTAAGAGTGGAGGGCCCTTCTGGGTATAGGTGGGAGAAGAGATTCTTGGTCTCATGAAGGCTGGATGCCCCAGTGGGGGGGATTTGAGGGTGGGAAGGTGGGAGTGGGGGTAGGTAGGATTACATCCGCAGAGAAGAAGGAGGGGTGAGGGGATAGGGAGTTCCTGGGTGGGGGGGATGGAGTAAGGGGATAACATATGAGATGTAAATAAAACATCCAATAAAAAAGAGAACTCAAACCGTATTTTCTCTGATTTTTGTCTCCTAAATTTTTATAGATTCATAAAATCTTGTCTGCATGTGCATGTGTATGTGTGTATGTATGTTTGTGTGTGTGTGTGTTCATGTGAGTGTACACATATGTATGTCACATGCAAATAGGTGGAGGACTAGGGAGAGAAAGTGTGTTAGTAGGAGGGAAAGGTGGTGACAGAATGAAGAAACAAGAGGAATGAAGATTGTCAAAATACATGAAATAATTTTATATTCCCTGAAAGTCAACATTATCTGTGTAAATACAGATTCTTAACCAGAAGAAGTGGAGGGATATTGCCAGGAGTCCAAAAGTGAGGGAGACTTTTCAGAGCTGAGCTAAGAAAAAGCCAAGTTCACTTCTGCATCCTCCAGTGGAAATATAGCCTGAAAGGCTCTTGATTTAGCCCATGGAGACACACAGTAGAGCTTTTCATTCCAGAATATAGGATAATAAATTTGTCATATTTGATACACAGAATCTAAGCATGAGAAATAAAAAAAGACACAAATGTCTTTACTTTGTTTTTCCATAAGGATCTTCCAAGTCAAAACATCTGTTCATTAACTTTCTACCAAACGTTGCAATAATTAGACATAGCAGCTGCAGGCAAAATGGGAAGTGTGTAGGTCTGGGGATGTGCGGTACAGGCAGCTGGTTAGAGGAGGTTTGTGTAGGAGGCTGAAGCACTGTGGGAGGATAGCTGCTATACTGCTTACAGAAATAAATGGATAGGTCTTCAGCCTGCACACTGCTGATAGTGAGAGTGAAATCTGTCCCAGATCCACTGCCTGTGAAGCGATAAGGGACCCCAGTGAACTGGTTGGTTGCCCCATAGATCAGAGGTTTAGGTGACTGCCCTGGTTTCTGTTGATATCAGGTTACAGCAGTACCCACATTCTGACTGGCCTTGCAGGTCATGGAGATTCTGTCTCCTATTGACGTAGACATCGATTTGGGAGACTGGGTCATCACAATGTCTCCATCAGCACCTGCAATCAGAAATAGATAATAAGTATACATATGTACACACAAAGGGCTCATGATACAAATGTTATAATCTAAAATGTTCTTTCTATTGACATTGTCTGCTTACAATTGACTTCCTATAGGAATTAGCTATTTCTCTACAAATGAAATATTTTAAGATATTATAATACTTTTAAGTGTCTCACCAGACAACCAGAGCAATAGGAATATGAAGACCTGAGTCTGTGACTCCATCCTGATGCCCATGCTGGCCTGATGCATTTCATATCTCACAGCAAAGGCATCGTTTATAAAACATGGGCAGCTGGGCTGCACTCTAGGGACCTATGCAACGTAGTCATCAAATTAGGAAGTAATTTGCATGGACACAGGGTTGTGAGAGCATTCAGGACAAATTAACAGCCAAAAGTAGTATCAAAGACAGGAAGAAATCACTAGGAAGGAAGTCAACATAGAAGCTCAAGGACCAAATTAAAGCTCTTGAACCACAAGTATCTAGATGCTCCCATGACAGACTTCCATTAAAAATCAATAGGTGAGGTATTTAAGGTTTTATTTTAGATAGATAGATAGATAGATAGATAGATAGATAGATAGATAGATAGATAGACAAAGAGAGATAGACAGATAGAGATAGAGATAGGATGAATACATTGTAGCTGTCTTCAGACACATGAGAAGAGGGCATTGGGTCCTATTACAAATAGTTGTGTGCCGCCACATGGTCGCTGGGAATTGAACTCAGGACCACTGATAGGGCAGTCAGTGCTCTTAACAGCTGAGATATCTCTCCAGCCCCAGCAGATGAGTTTTGCAGAAATAATAGTACAACTACCTTTGATTTAATCCTGAGGAAACAATATATCCTGTGAAACAACAACAAAATAAACAGGGGAAGTGAAAAAGAAGAAAAGAAATAAAGAAGGGAAAGGGAAAGAGGAGGGGATAGGGAAGAAAGAAAAAAGAAGATGGAGTAGAGAAGAGGGAATATTGAATCAAGGAGGTAACAGATATGTAGAGAGGAGATAAGGAATGGAGAAAATGAAAAAGGAGAAATATTTTAAAGAGAAAGTTATGGGGGTAGAGACTCAACTCAGTAGTTAAGAGCACTTGCTTCTCTTATAAAAGACTCAATCTTGACTCATTCCAAGCATTCACATGATGATTCTCAGCCATTTATAATACTAGTTATGCAACACATGGTACACATGTATACAAACATACATTCATGCATACACATACAGATTTACAGACAGACAAACATACATACACACACACACACATATATATATATGTATATGTATATGTATATGTATATATATGTATATATATATATGCATAGATGCATGCATGCAATCATGCAATTTGAGATGTGAACACTGAGTTTCTGCTCCAGCTACCAAGACTGCCACCTGCTGCCTTCTTTCTGCTCTCATACAGTCTACCACTCTGAAATTCAAGATCAATCCTTTCTTTTTTATAAGATTTTTATTGTATATTTTATTTAAATTTCTAAAACTATCCCCTTTCCCAATATCCCCTCTACCCAGAAAGCCCCTATCCCATCTCTCATTCTTCTTCTTCTATGGAATATGTCCTCACCACCCACTCACTCCCACTTCCCTGCCCTCGAATTCCCTCACACTGGGGCATCCATACTTCATAGAACCAAAGATTTCCTCTCCCAACTGTGCCTGACAAGGCCATTCTCCCCAACATATACAGCTGGAGCCATGGGTTCCTTCCAATGTGCTCCCAAGCTGGTGGTTTATACCCTGGGAGCTCTGGTTGGTTGGTATTGTTGCTTTCCCCATGAGGCTGAAAACACTTTCAGGTAATCCAGTCTTCTCTCTCACTCCTCCATTGGGAACCCCATGACCAGTTCAATGGTTAGCTGTGAGCATCCACCTCTGTTTATGTCAGGCTCTGGCAGACATCTAAGGAGACACCTATATCAGGCTCCTGTCAGCATGGACTTCCTAGCATCCACATCAGTGTCTACAAATGGTGACTACACATGGGATGAATACCCAAGTGGAACAGTCTCCAGAGTGCACCTCCTTCAGTTTCTGTCCCACAGTTTGTCTCCATATTTCCTCCTAGGAGTATTGTGTTGCTCTTAAGAAGGACCAAAGCATCCACACTTTGGACTTCCGTCTTCATGAGCTTCAAGCAGTGTGTGAGTTACATCTTGGTTTTGCCATCTTTTGTGCTAATATCCACTAATCAGTGAGTGCATACTATGTGTGTTCTTTTGTGATTGAGTTACCTCACTCAGGATGATATTTTCTAGTTCCATCCATTTGTCTAAGAATTTCAAAAATTCATTGTTTTTAATAGCTGAGTAATACTCCATTGTGTAAACGTACCACATTTTTTGTATCCATTTCTCTGTTGAAGGACATCTGGGTTCTTTCTGGTTTCTGGCTATAATAAATAAGGCTGCTATGAACATAATGGAGCCTAAGCCCTTGTTATATGTTGGAGCATCTTCTGGATATATGCCCAGGAGTGGTATAGCTGGGTCCTCAAGTAATATTACGTCCAATTTTCTGAGGAATAGCCAGACTGATTTCCAGAGTGGTTGTACCAACTTGCAATCCCACCAAAAATGGAGGACTGTTCCTCTTTCTCCACATCCTCACCAGCTTCTGCTGTCCCCTGCGTTTTTGATCTTAGCCATTCTGACTCGTTTGAGGTGGAATCTAAGAGTTGTGTTGATTTGCATGTCCCTGATATCTAAGGACGTTGAACATTTCTTTAGGTGTTTCTTGGTCATTTGAGTCTCCTAAGTTGAGAATTCTTTGTTGAGCTCTGTACAACATTTTTAATAGGGTTATTTGGTTGTCTGGATTCTAATTTCTTGAGTTCTTTGTATATATTGGATATTAGCCCTCTATCAGATGTAGGATTGGTAAATATCTTTTCCCAGTCTGTTGGTTGCCATTTTGTCCTATTGACAGTATCCTTTGCCTTACAGAAGCTTTGCAATTTCATGAGTTCCTATTTGTCAATTCTTGAACTTAGAGCATAAGACATTGGTGTTCCGTTCAGGAACTTTCCCCGGTGTCCACACATTCAAGGTTCTTCCCCACCTTCTTCTATTAGTTTCAGTTTATCTGGTTTTATGTGAAGGTCCTTTATCCACTTGGACTTGAGATTTTTACAAGGAGATAAGAATGGACCAATTTTCGTTCTTCTACATGCTGACCTCCAGTTGAACCAGCACCATTTGTTGAAAATGCTGTCCTTTTTACACTGAATAGTTTCAGCTCTTTGTTAAAGATCAAGTGACAATAGGTGTGTGCATTCATTTCTGGGTCTTCAATTCTATTCCATCGATCTTCCCGCCTGTCTCTGTACTAATACCATGGCATTTTTATCACTATTGCTCTGTAGTACAGCTTGAGGTCTGGGATGGTGATTTCCCCAGAAGTTCTTTTATTGTTGAGAATAGTTCTTGTTATTCTGTGTTTTTTGTTATTCCAAATGAATTTGAAAATATCTCTTTCTATCTCTATGAAGAATTGGGTTGGAATTTTGATGAGGATTGCATTGAATCTGTAGATTGCTTTCTGCAAAATGGCCATTTTTCTATATTAATCCTGCCAATCCTTTAGCATGTGATGTCTTTCTATCTTTTGAGATCTTCGATTTCTTTCTTCAGAGACTTGAAGTTCTTGTCATACAGATCTTTCACTTGATTGGTTAGATTCACACCTAAGTATTTTATATTATTAGTGATATTTTGACTTTTTCCTTAACTATTTGTATCTTTTTCTACTTCCTTGTGTGGTCTAATTCCTATGGCTAGGACTTCCAGTACTATATTGAATAGATAGGAAGATAGTGGGCAGCCTTGTCTGGTCCCTGATTTTAGAGGGATTGCTTCAAGTTTGTCTCCATTTAGTTTGATATTGACTACTGGCTTGCTGTATATTGCTTTAATTCATGGTCTTTCCAAGACTTTTTATCATGAAGAGATGTTGAATTTTGTCAAATGCTTTCTCAGCATCTAAAGAAATAATCATGTGGAGTTTTACCGTGAATTTTGTTATATAGAGGATTATGATGATGGGTTTCCATATATTGAAACATCCTTGCATCCCTATGATGAAGCCTACTTGATCATTATGAATGATCATTTTGATGTGTTCTTGGATTCAGTTTGCAAGAATTAGATTGAGTATATTTACATCAATATTCATAAGAGAAATTGGTCTCAAGTTCTCTTTCTTTGTTGGATCTTTATGTGGCTTAAGTATTAGCATAATTGTAGCTTCAGAGTATGAATTGGGAAGTCTTCCTTCTGTTTCTGTTTTGTGGAATAGTTTGAAGAGTATTGCTTTTAGATCTTTTGGAAGGACTCATAGTATTCTACACTAATTCCATCTGTTCCTGGGCTAATTTTTAGTTGGGAGACTATTCATGACTGCTTTTATTTCTTTAGAGATTATTGGCTTAGATGGTTTATCTGATCCTGGTAACTATGATACTCAGTATCATTCTAGAAAATTGCTGATTACATCCAGATTTTCCAATTTTGTTGAGTATAAGGTTTTGTAATAGGAGCTGATGATCTTTTGAATTTCCTCAGTTTCTCTTGTTATGTCTACCTTTTCATTCCTGATTTTATTAATTTGGATACTGTCTCTGTGACCTCTGGTTAGTCTTGCTGAGCTTTTATCTATCTTGTTGATTTTCCCAAAGAACCAGCTCCTGGTATTGTTCATTCTTTGTAGAGTTCTTTTAGTTTCTACTTGGTTGATTTCAGCCCTGAGTTTGATGATTTCATGCTGTCTATTCTTGGGTGTATTTTCTTATTTTTGTTGTAGAGCTTTCTCATGTATTTTCAAGCTGCTAGTGTATGCTCTCTCCAGTTTCTTTTTGGAGACACTCAGAAGTATGGGTTTTCCTCTTATCACTGCTTTCATTGTGTCCCATAAGTTTGGGTATTTTGTGCCTTCATTTTCATTGAATTCTAAAAAGTCTTTAATTTTTTTATTTATTCTTTGACCAAGGTATCACTGAGTAGAGTATTGTTCAGGTTCCATGTGTATGTGGGATTACTGTTGCTTTTGTTGCTATTAAAGTGCAGCCTTAGTCCTTGGTCATCTGACGGGATGAATGAAATTATTTCAGTCTTCTTGTATCTGTTGAAGCATGTTTTGTGAGCAATTATATGGTCAATTTTGGAGAAGGCTCCATGAGGTGCTGAGAAGATACATT